GATTTGAGCTTATTTAGAGACAGATCGAATCACTATTTTGTCCATATGCTCGTATCATGAAGAAGTCCAATTTGAATATAAATTTATTGAAATTAGAATTTTGATGGCCCTTAATTTTATTCTGAAAATTTCTAATAAAAATAATGTATTGAGATTCATGACAATCAAATGAAATTTTTAATGACATATTAATTGTATTTTTTATTTGTGTAATAGTTTAAGCATGTTTTGGTGGTTGTATTATGATGACTAAATAATATATATTAATCATTTTGTAAAGATTGTAATTATGTAAACAAACTACTTTTATTGGCATTGATGGTGTTATAAAAATCATAATGAAATATCATGGCCTATGCTCTATGAAATTTTGATTTTTATTAGGGAGAGTTTATGTGAGAAGTAAAATAAAATTTGTTATTTTTTATATTTATATAAAATAATTTAGAGCTCCCCGCATGCTATATGCCTTGATGTAATATGCGATTGAATATATATTTTATTTGGTTACAACATGCCAAGATGGGACATGAAATGTATTTGATTTTATAATATTTCTTAAACATTGTAATTTTTTTTTGAATAACTAATGATGATTTTGATTGATACATCTTCAACATTGATTTGGTTGGACATGAATTTCAATTTATATTTGGATTAAAAATTTCATTATTAAATTCAGAATCATTCGAACTTTGATTTTAGTAAGTTTGTATTCAAATTAAATATTTTGATGAGACGAATCCATCGACACCAAAAGTGATACAATTCGACTGAAATAAGCTAAAATCGAGCACTTGAAGAATAATTAAAAATTTTGATATATTAATTGGAGAACCAAACAACCTTTAAATATTGCATACTTATAGTCAAATTGAGAGCCTCAATGAAACTAATCTAATGAGCAATCGTCTAATTCTGATATCAGTAAGACACTTAAATGGTGAATGAATAATCAATGATCAAGGAAACAAATATCAGTTGTTCGATGGATTTTTTCACATTTTAACTATATTTATGGGACAAGCCACTCTAATAACTCTATATATTCATTGAATTTTATATAAAGGGAGGGCTTGACTCTTAGGTTAAGATTAAAGAAAGCTCAGAGAGTTGAAAATTCTCACAAAATTGCACTGAACGAACATCCAACCATTATTGTATGACAACCTTCATTGGACAGATGTCAAAAGATGACTATCAGTTGACTTTGTTCCTCTAACTACATTTGCTTAACTAAAGTCCTTCAACTACAATCACATCCCTTGACTATGGCCCTCTAACTATCTTCGCTCGACTTTGGTTATCTAATAATCATTATCCGACTATAGTTTCAAGACCATTGATACCTAACTATGAACCTCTGACCATCATTAACCAACTATGATGCTTTGACCCTCTTTGTAAGATTATTCTCCTTCGACTATTGTCTTTATATTATGGTCATTTAACCACTTCTAACAAACTTCAATTATTTGACAATCATTGCTCATCTATTGTTGCTCAATCACCATCGCTTAAGTATGATTCTCTGATCATCATATCTCAACTATAATCCTTCGATCACATTCGAGATTACGCTTCTCCAACTATCTTATCTAATTATGATCCTTAAACCTTCTTTTCCCGGCCTTAGTCCCCAACCAAACAACCATCATTGCCCAACTATGGCCCTCGAACCAACATCATCAGATTACGATCCTTCCGACCCCCATCAGTCGTCTAATGTGATCCTCCAACCTTAGTTCCCGTCAACTATAATCTCCCAATATTTGTGTGATGCCCCAGAAATCAATAGTGAAAGGATTCGTCTGACATTCTGATCGAACTCCATTCCAGTTGCAATAAAGAAATCTAAAACGATCATATCAATAGTTATACGCATATCAATTCAATCTATCAATTTCAACCAAATCAGAAATCGTACGAAAATCGGGCAGAGTAACGGCAGTCGGTCAAATTTACACAAAAATCTCCAAAAATTACAATTCACCAAATTAATACAGAACGTGCACAGCAACATTCTAAGACTATTCTTCTACTGCTCAAACCAATTCGGACATCATAATAAATTGCAGTCAAAATAAAACTCCGCAGAACCAAAACGAACCGGACGAAATCTGTCAGAAAATAATCAAAACGTGCAGAATAATCACGTCTACAACATACCAAAAGTTACGCGGTGAAATCTTTGCTAGTACCAAACCGGGTACGAAAATCGCTTACAAAAACACAAATCTGAGCACCATTTTGCAAAATCTCAAAATCTCTGAAAACAGAAGTAGGGTTCGGAATCCTTACAGCGAGACAAACAAAATATCCAACAGCAACGAACGACGAAAATCGCTCCGCGGGCCCCGAAATCGGACTTCTTCCTTTGCTTTTCCGCCCTTTCTCTCTCCTCAAAATATCTGATTTATAAAAATGTTTTCTCTCTCCTCAAAACGAGCTCATTTTCTTATATCATTAGTGGGATCGGCCCGGCCGATCGTCACATCGTCCCGGGACGATCAGACCAAAATTGATCGTCCTGGACGACTCCCAGAACTATTCTCAGGACGATATTTTCTACAGTGCAGATCGGCCTGGACGATCTCCAATCGGCCCGGACGATCCTGGGAAAAAATATCACTTTTCCCAGCAGCTACAGCAACAGCAAAGGAACGAGGTCTCACATGAACACCCTCTGGCTCGAACACGACTTGACTTGTTTGCACCCCTAAAAGTGGATATTAGCTTTGGGTAATGAAATTTCAACTCCCTTTATTTCCTTTGTATTTTCTATTTTTTTGTATCGATTAGCTTTGGCTAATGTTGTTAATGCCAGTTATAACTTTTATGAGCACATAACTGCGTATACACACACGAACCAAAGAAAATCCTTATTGCAGTAGCCGTTAGAATTCAAATATTTGATCCATACTTCAAAATAATAATAATAATAAGCGTGCAGCATGAGTTAATACCTTCAATTTCTTGTCTACCGTAATTATTGTCACCATTATTAAAAAAATTAATGTATGTTTATCTCTCAGTACTGTTATTTAAATATGAACATGTTACTATTTAATACAGTTGAAATACTTCAAACATCTTAAATAACTTAGTACCAGTTTCCATTATAAGTTTTTTCACCATTTTTATTTAAATGCTTCAACTTTTTTTCTTCTTTTTTTTTTCTTTTTAAATAATGGTTGAATTTTTAGGCCATGTGGGTTGTATGATTTCTCGTTGGGATTCACTTATCTACAAAAGTTATCCTTCCCCCGATGCATAAATATTTTCCTTGAGAAATCATACAACCGAGTTCAGTATTACTTTGTACTCTGAAGTATCGAACGGTAACCTGTGTTCGATGTCTGAATCCAATAATCTCTCCCGATATCCTAATCATTTTTGTCCATCCCCTACTAAAATTTTTTTTTTGCCAACCCTAAAAAAAGATGCTGGATCCGCCCCTGACCTTCATTAGACAGCCGTCATAAGACCACTATCACCTGACTATGATCCTCTAATTACATTTGCTTAACTAAAATCCTTCGACCACAATCATATCCCTTGACTATGGTCGTCGCTCGACTTTGATTATCTAATAATCATTACCCGACTATAGTCTCAAGACCATTGACATATAACTATGAACCTCTGACCATCATTAACCAACTATGATGCTTTGACCCTCTTTGTAAGATTATACTCCTTCGACTATTGTCATTATATTATGGTCATTTAACCACTTCTAACCAACTTCAGTTATTTGACAATCATCGCTCATCTATTGTTGCCCAATCACCATCGCTTAAGTATGATTCTCTGACCACCATATCTCAACTAAAATCCTCAGATCACATTCGATAGATTACACTCTTCCAACTATCTTATCCAATTATGATCCTTAAACCTTCTTTTTCCGACCTTAGTCCCCAACCAAGCAACCATCATTGTCCAACTATGATCCTCGAACCAACATCATCGGATTACAAGCCTTCTAACCCCCATCAGTCGTCGAATGTGATCCTCCAACCTTCGTTCCCGTCAACTATAATATCCCAATATTTGTTGCTTGCCCACTATGATCCTCAAATCATTGTCATTCGACTACAGTCATTTCAACTTCTATCTCTCACCAACTAGCCATATGACATATAATTGTTTGACATCACCTGACTACTCTAATGTTTATTGGTTTCATCACTTACCATCACTGATAATGCCAAAAAACATCATCACTTATATGATCGATGCATATCGTTAACGTCAACTAAGGCTTTGATTGTGACGGCTTTCTTATTGCTTCTTAAAGCAACTTTCTAGTACTAAAAAATCATTTTATGAAACAATAAAAAAGCCATCCCATACGAAGCCTAAGACTCAAAACTTTAGCACCTAAATTGATGCTTGTTTCATACCAAAGGTTTCTTCCAACCGCAACTAACTAACACATTCTTTATAATGTATCATTGTCTTCTCTCTGGGAAAGGCTTCAATTATAATTAAATAAAAATCTAAAGAAACTATTTTAACTATATTAGGCCTCATAATTTTTACTTTTTTTGAGTTTTACACGTATAAAATTTGATGTCTCTTATAATCTTACACCTCTCTCTCTCATATTTATATAAAGTTAAGATGTTAATATATATTTCTCAGTCGTTGCAAATATTCCGACACATAATAAAAACTAAATCTATAAGAAAATTAAATAAAAAGAAAGCACAATAAAGTGAAGCCATGTTTTTGTTCATTTTTCCAAACATTTGTAATGAGGTGAACACTTTCTGTATATTTATATATTTTTTATCCTATTGACCATTACAAATAATCCAGCACAAATTACTTTTGAGTATTTTTTTTTAAATAAAATTACGCATTTACCTTTGATTTGTGGAGGACAAAAGTGTCATTTTGCCCAATTTTACCAATGTTCGGCTGAGAACTCCGCAGATAATAAAGTTAATATATTATTTTTTTTTTTACTATACTGAGTCAGTTCAATAAAATGTCCATTGACTTCACATTCCACTCTCTTGCAATTTGATTGGACCGTTGAAAAAGCAGATTTAACATCACCCATCATTGGGACCCATTTTTGGGACCCACATTTCGACCTTATCATCATTTAACCACGTCATATCATATCAAGCAGACAAGAATCGCGTTTGTTTCCACGTCGGATTCGCTCGAACAAACGCCCGTTATATATAAACAATTAATGCCACCACTACAACAACCGGTCTCTCACTTAAAGCAGCGAAAAGCCCAAAAGGCGCCGGCATGGCTCAGCTCCTCCTCTTCCGTTGCCAAAAGCCCGTTTCACCCGCCACCACCACCGCCACCGCCGTCACTCCCATAGACGGCGCAACCTCCGCCGCCGCCCAACAATGCCTGCCGAGCTGCAGCGACTTCGGGCGGCGGCTGGTGCGCAAGCTGAAAAAACAGAGCAAAATGCTCTGCACTGCGACCGCCGTTTGCCGTACGGCCGGCGATACAGCCTCCTTTCAGTGCCAGTATGATCCGCTCAGCTACTCACGGAACTTCGACGGCTGCTCTGCGCTTGATGACGACTCCTCGCATTTCTACTACACATTTTCTTCAAGGTTTGCTCGCCCGTTAGCCGCCTCTCATTAAGAGCTGTTGGAGGAGGAAGACGACTCTGTTATTCCTTTTTTTTTCTCTCTTACCTGTAATTCGATTTCTTGTTATTATTATTATTTTTTTTTATTTGCTTGTATGAAAATTATGGTTGCTTTATTATAATCAAACAGAGTTGGATTTGGAGAGATGCTCGAGTTAATAATTGATAGGGAGCTTGTTGGCTTGTGCTGGGCTTAGCTATTTCTTATCTGGCATGTCCTGTCCTTTCTTTTTCTTCTGTTTGAGAGTAGAAAAGTTTAATATCAAATAGCTCATCTGACCTACCGCTGTTTGTCCGGGTGGTAAAGAGCCGGCTAGGTAAAGCCTAGGTCCTTGATTCGAATCCCTTGGCAAATAGTGAAAGACTTAAATCTTGGCTCATGTAAATTGGTGTTGTTTGCATGCTAAGTCGATCGGTGTTTTCATTGGCCTAAGGACAGTGCTTCCTCATCACAAAAAAAAAAAAAAAACTCATATGGATCTGTCCTTTGAGAGCTTTGACTATTAAATAAGAGATGTTGAGTTCGAGTCTTAATATGTGATGTGTGTATGAATTTATTTTAATTAATATAAATGTTCAATAAAAAAGATTTAACATTAAAAAAAGGATTAGCATAATATTAATTTTTCTATGAAGTTGATTAAAAATATGAATAATTTGAGTGAATATATTTAAATATCATCTGAAATATTAATATGATTGATATTTTATCTTTTCATTACTAAGAAGATTGATTAGACCCCAACATTAATACTAAGGCTTATGCTAGATTTTTTGGTGTGTGGTATATGCTTCTCTAAGGTGAACTATCAAAATAGGTTATCCATAATCTCTTGTGGAAAACCAACACCTCAAAGCTTTCAAAAATTTTGTTATGGAAGTCATCCTCCACAATTCTTCTCTTATATTGTATCCAGGGTTTTAAAAATCGAATCGGATTGGCTGGTCCAACCGATTCAACCGTAAACTAATCTAAACGCCAGCTGAGTTCAACTTGAAAATTGATTTTGTATCAAATCGGGATGAACCAACCAGAACGTCCGGTTCAACCGACAAACCAATTCTGATTCCTTTGAACTAGTTAAGTCAATTTCTAAAATATTTAAATATAATATTTATAATTTAACAGATTAATTTAAATTTAAAATGCTTAATTTTTAAATAAAGAAATCTCATCTAAGTATTTCGCATTGCTCTATCACTCCATATGAGTTATTACCCCATCCAAACTCAAAAGTTAAAATAAAATGTAAACATTAATAAGATGGAATTTTTCACAATTTCCTGTGATTTTTTTTTTGTAAATTATAAAATAATAATTAGTTAGCAAAATATTATTGTTTAAGAGTTGTAAAGCTTAATGAATTATTACATAAAAATTAATAAATGTTTGCAACTCTAAGTTGATGCCTAAATTATTTTGTAGGAAATATGAATTCATTGACTCAAAGTAAACATATTTTATATTATGTATTAATTATCTTAGAATGATTCATGTGATCAGTCTTTAATAACCTCATAACCTTATTAATTAGTTCTTTAACTATTATGATCTTACTGTTATCCACATTATATCTACCCATGATTTTTAATATTTTTTCTCTCAATTTAATATAAAAATCATTTAAAATGAACTTTATGCTTGTTAAAGCCTAATAAAAAGAGGATACTAAATTAAAAAACATTTAATTATGCATTAATGTCACTGTAAGCAAATTCTAGCATTCCTTATCATTTAGGTTTCTTTTAGGATATTTTTCTTCTTGATTTCTAAAAGAACTTTTTAGTACAAAAATTTGTAGTTCATACAAAATTTTTAATAAAAATTTGCTTTAAAAATAGTAAATTTTTTGTCTCAAACCAAGTCTTAATAATCAGCAGATATATAATTTTATAGTACTGATATTATGGAGTTATAGCATAGTCTAATATCAGTTATCTTCAAATCAATGGTGTAGGGTTTCATGGGACCCTTTGAGAGGGTTTCAACCCATTTACAACCAATAGTGCAATCAAAGTCTTTTCAACATGCATCTAAAATTTTTGAAAGACATAAAAATTTAAATAAAACGAGCCCAAGATCGTCGGAGTGCTATTGGAAGGTTCAAACCACAATTTGGGTTACCAAACGGTTTCCAAACATGACGTGCTTATAGTCGAATCGAGCGACTTGACGAGACGAATCCAACGAGCTCAAGATCGTCGAATTTCAACATCATTAAGACCTTCAAATGTCTGACAAACGACACATGATCAATGGATTCAATATCGGTCGTCCATCCAACCACTCCCCATTTGCCCTTGATCCTTATCATATTTATGGACCATGCCACTCCAGAAATCTATAAATAGACCCCCTCCTTTCTCTTGAAAAGGGGGCTCCAAGCAAGAAAAGAAGAAGAGAAGAGAAGGAAGAAGCTCCTCCTCGACCACTGCCTTAGTTTCGTCGGACCACCGCCTGACGTCGTTGCTTCATCGGACCACCACTTGAGGCCCTCACCTCCGTCGGACCAACACCTGACGTCGTTGCTCTGTCGAACCACCATTTGAGGCCCTAACCTCCATCAGACCATCACTTAAGGCCCTCACCTCCGCCGGAACACCGCCTGACGTCGTTGCTTTGCTGGACCACCACCTGAGGCCCTGAGCTCCACCGGACCACCACTTGAGGCCCTGGGTTTTGCCGGACCACCACCTGAGGCCCGAACTTCTCCCAGCTCACCAAGTGATGCCCAAAATTATGCTGGACCACCACTTGAGGCTCTGAGCTCCGCCGGAGAACCACTTAAGGCCCTCACCTCCGCCGAACAACCGCCTGCGTCATTGCTTCGCCGGACCACCACTTGAGGCCCTAGGTTCTAACGGACCACCACTTGAGGCCCGAATTTCTTCCAGACCACCACGTGACGCCCAGACTTCTGTCATAACACCATATGAGGTCTGGGCTTCTATCGGACCATCACCTGAGGCTCAAACTTTTGCCGGACCGCCGCCTGATGACTAAAGTTCTATCGAAGTACTACCCTACTACTATGATCTTTAGGACCACTGTCTCCTGCCGACTACGATCCTTCCGACCTCCGTCACCTACTATGGTCCTTCCGATCTCCATCAACAAACAAACGGTCTTTCTGACCCCGATCTCCTGCCAACTGTGGTCTTTCGGACCTCTGCTTCCTGCCGATTACGGTCCTTCCGACCTACATCACCTACTATGGTCCTTCCGACCTCCATCATCAGACAACGGTCTTTCTGACACCGCTCTCTTGCCAACTACAGTCTTTCGGACCTCTATCTCCTGCCGACTACGGTCCTTCTGACCTCCATCACCTACTATGGTTCTTACAACCTCCATCACCAGACAACGGTCTTTCCAACCTCTATCCTATCGACTATGGTCGTGCCGACCAAACAAACATGTTTATATTGTAACTCCCACCATGTAATGCGCTTTATATGATGTCTATTTGTACCATCAAGACAACACCTTCTAAGGAAGGGCCTCATTTGTAATCAACTGCAAATACTAGTGGATACATTCAATTTGTTCCAGGCCCCTTGATTTCTCCCCCTTTTCAGTGGTTTCCACGTAAAAACTCTGATGTCTCTTATGAACACTACACTCTCTCTCTTATCTGATTATGTGTTATATCTTCGTAAAACGTTAAGACGTTAAGCTATATATTTCTCTTCAAAATATGGATATGAATATGTGATGCTTAATTTTATAAATGTTTAGTTATGATGAATTTAATTATGCTAATGTGATTTGGATGTAATATCATTGGTATTTTTAATTAGGAATTATCATATGATTTGTTAATAACAATTTTTGTATACTTAAAAACTTCACTCAATTCAATTATTTTGCTGGTTAAGATTTTTTAGACAATGAAGTGAGATATAAGTAGTCTGAGTAATATTGAGTAGATAGATGCTAGTAAGATAAATTGTCTAAGGCTTCATTTGAGACAATTTTCTAAAGCAGTTTTTTAATACACAAAATTTTTTGAATTATAACTTTTGTACTAAAAAACTAATTTAGAAAGCAGCATCAAGCGAAGCCTAAATCGGCTATGCTTTATCATGTATGGCCCCTTTTTAAAGTGGTTGGTAATTTGGTAATGAATAATATGATCAAGCACGTAATTCATCTTGATCATTTGGTTTGCAACTTTGGCTACCAACCAAAAAATCTTAAATTCGAATATTACGCATGTAGTGTGCATAAGTTTACTTATTAAAAATATCATGTTAATTATATAAGCATAATACATATAAATGAAGCCTAAATATTCAAAAAAAAAGCATAATTCATATATGTTCTTTCTCTTTCATTTTGCACCTCTATATTGAATGGCAATAATATAAGCATATTCTAATACATGTTAATTATATATATATTGGACAATTAGGGGATTCGAACGTGAGCCATGTGGGAGGAAAGCTTCACTCAACGAGCGATTGCACACACTATCTCAATTATATTATTATGGCTTTTAAAATTTTTAATTTTCTTTTTAGATTAATGTAATATAAACTTCTTAATTATACATAATATTAATTTCAAAATAAAACTACCCATTTTTAAATATAATATAATATAACTTATGTTAAAATATTCTAAAATAAATTTGATTTTTCTTTATTAATCTCTTTTTGCAAATAATTAATGAAAACCCTAAAAGTAAAATCTAAACCTAACAATCTCTAACATTGATGTTATTACATAACTGCTAATGCGTTGAACTGTCTTCTGCAATATGAAATTTAAACAATGCAAAATATTGAGGTAAATATGTAAATATGATAAATAATATGTATATTTGTTAGTGGCTCACACGAGAGAGCAAGTGGTTCCAATTGGTCGAGCACATGGCAGAATGGCCCACCATGAAAAATTTTATTATTGGCCAATGGCTGCAATTACTACAATAGTTTATTTATTTATTTGTCCAATGTGGCCTTTCAGTCAAGGCACCAATGTCGTACTTACTTTCAATTAATATTATTCTATAATGCTGCGACAGAATGGGCCACTCTCTCTCAAGTTTGTCGGCCACATACAGAAAGAACTTACTCGACCAATAAATCCACCTAACAAGTTTTGATTTATCAAATTAAAATAAAAAAAATAAGAATTTTTTTTTTTAAACATCATTTTAGAAACGTTGGCTAAAGAAATTAAATTTTCTAACGGAAAAATAAATCTAAAAAAAAAATTAAATAACAGAAAAATAAAATTCCCTAAAAAGTTTTTCTACAAAAGCGTCGCATACAAGCAACGAATAAAAAATAATTTCATCGATTCTAAACGAAAAAGGCAAAAAAAAACACCCTCTCAAACGAGGCTTATATGATATTTGAGGTTGATGACCGGTAATAACGATAAGCAACGATGTCCTAGCATGAAGCAATCTTGAGTTCCTTGGATTCTTCTCGTTGACACATTCATTTTGACTATCAGCATGCTAAATTTGAAAATCATTTTGTAATCCAATTAGTGTCTTAAAATTTTCAATTACACTTCAAGCCTTTGATTTAGCTCATTGAGGCTAGGATTGGGTCACTTTTGGTAGAGATTCTGTTCGATGTTCGAACTCGTCCGGAGGTCAATCTGAGCGCACCATATCACCCAATGCACTTTGAACGCATTCGAACACAACACAATAATTTTTTCACTTTTGATATCATTGAACTCATTTTTTGAGCCGTTTATTTCAACTATAAATTTACTAAATATCAGAGCTCGAATGATCCTGAATTTAATTTTGAAATTTTGAATTCCAATATGACATCCATGCAATTTTTTATGACTACCAATTTTAAAATACTTCAAAATTAAACTAGGCAATGAACTTTATATTCTTCAAAATTTACCCTTCATTTTTTCACTACAAGCCAACCACTAATATTTTTAATGCCCTTGTATTTAGAATACCTTACATCTATTTTATTTCAAACCCAAAAACCCCTTTAGTAGATAACATTTGACATATTCACTATTGAGAATTTATATAAATTTTAATTTGTTATATGATGAAGAATTTCTTCATTAGTGGCTACATTTTATAATTAATTTCCATGTTGGGGCAATAGGAAAATAGTTAATGATGCAATAATTAAGCGGTTAAGTATCACTTTACAAATTTTAATATTAAATTAAGCATCTTAATGATCATTAGTAATTCATGGTGTATAATAGATGCGCAAAAAAAAAAAATTAGGGCTGTTAAAGTATTTTGAGAGATTTGGACTTTCATGGAGTGCAGCTGCAAGTAAATATAATAAAATCATATACATAAATCAATTATCTTCTCATAAATAATTAATTAAAATTTATATCACTCTTTTTCCAAAAATAAAACTCAATAATTTAAAAACTTGATATCATTATTATCAATTTTTAAATCATTAAATTTAATTTGAAATAAATATAATACATAACCGAGTGATTAAATTATATGACTAACAAATTATTATAATTTAATTTGTGCCAAAATATCTTAATACAATTTCTTTTAGAGGAAGCAAATTAAATGATAATGTAATTTAAGATCTAAACCCTAAACATATAAATAAAGAAAGGGCCTATCCTTAATTGCAATGATTTCAATCTAGAATTTAGAGCATGTAATCTCCATCACAAATATCTAAAAAATAATAATACAGCTCTTATAAAATTTTAAATTTTGATAGGACTTTTATTGTTATATTTTTCAAGTGCAAAAGAGTCCATGTTATTATTAAATATTAAATAAACACAAGGTGAGATTTGATATTTTGCCAAATCTCAAAAAGGCTATATGATATTTAGGAAAAAGTGAAGGAGTTAAATGAGAATTACCCCATTTTCAATGGATGATGAAAGAATGCACTGTACATATTGACCAGAAGCTTCTAGCATGTGCTGTTGGGACAAAGGTAAACCCGACCGTAAACCCAGCGCTGCTCAGGCCTAGATATCGATCGCTGCATATAAATTACAAGCATCTTCCATGAACATATTAAATTCTATTATTTGAGGAACAAAAATAACTAAATAGAAGGCATTCTAAGGCTTCGTTTTAAGTAAAAAAAAAATTCTTAGAATAAAAAATGTTATACTAAAAAATTGCTTCAGAAAACAGCAAAAAAGTTATCCCAAACAGTTAATTTGCTCCAACCTTGGATTGTTTAGATGGATATCAAATTGGTGATATTTATCACACTGCAAATAAATTTTATTTTAAAAACTTCTTTTGATCAAAAGAATTGAATGTGCATCTCATAACTTATGATATATGTAAATAGTTGTTGAAGACAAGAAAATCAATCATAGGTCCTCTTATAAATTGATTAATTAGATCGATTTTAGCTTTATTTATTTCGATTGTAACAAATGAATGTGTATTTTCAATACTGAGAATTCATTTGGGACAACTTTCTTATTGATTTCTACGGCAATTTTCTCCTAGAGAAAATTATTTTAAAAAGCAATAGGAAAACCGTCCCAAACGAGCCCAAAGAAGACAGAGGAATCATAAAGAATAAAAATGACCCTAAGCATTTTGGAGAAAGCTAATGATGACGACGTTCCAATCAGCTATGCAAACAATGCTAGCAATCCAACATGAAGTACAGGAGCTATTATTCTATGCGGATACTAGACGGTTCTCCAGCCGGTTACACACTCGGTACCGAGTGAGATACATTTTTGAGGTGACGTGACGCATTTTATTGGTCTCTGGACGCCATCCGGACTCCGCACAGAAAAATAAATCGAAGTACAGGTGGGTATATTTTTAACCGGATATTATGATGTTGCAAAATACAGGCAACTACATAAAAGCTGATGGTTCAAACTTCTTCAAAGCGGTAAAAAATATCATCATTACCTGCAACTGATCTTTTCTTTTTCATCAAATATGATAAAAAGAACGCAACTTCGGGATTTTTTTAACAAATGATGGTAAATCCTACAACTGATTCTTAGTACAGACTTTTAAAAGCGGGCTCTATTAAAGACAGGAGACGATAAGTTCATTAAGCATTAAAAACATATTTTATAGCGAGGACTAAGTAGCTTTCTATATTATTGATCCAATGGTTCAAATTTAAGTGACAAAAACTGCCTTTCCAGTTAACATAAAACCATTGAAGTAAAGGAGCAATGATATAATGCACATAGAAGTAGAAAATGATTACCTCAACCTTACCACGAAACTCCAATCTACTTTTACAGACATGACATTGGGTACCATGTGGAAAGAGAATAGAATTTTCAGCCTTCACAAATGCAAAGACCTGACAAGTAACCATATTCGAATTAGTCAAATGCGTTATAGGCTTCTCTTGGGATGACTTTCTTACTGCTTCTTAAAGTGGTTTTTTAGTTTAAATATTAAAAATTTTGTACTAGAAACCTACTTTAAAAAGCAGTAAGAAAGCCGTCCCAGACGAAGTCGTAGTTAAAACATATAAGAAAGTCAATAGCCAGTGGGTTCAACCTCCTCCCCACAATTTGGGCATGCGCCTTTTAATGCCACTAAGTGCTTCATCCAGAGGTCTTTCAGAGCTAGGACTGTTTAGAAGATCAGTAAGTATCGATGAGCATAAAGTGAAAAGATAAGATCAAGCATTTGCATTTTAATTTCTTACGATCAGAAATCACCATCAATTCATGAAAAATTCATAATGAAAAAAAAAAAAAAATCAAAAGCACGTCCGGATCATTGAAGTAGATTGATGAAACATTGTCCCAATTATGTTTAATATGCAAAAGACCATTAAATGATGCTTATGGAAAAGAAAAAATAAAGTCACAAAAGGTAACTTTGGTAAAAAGGTCTTCACTGACACTTCTCATTAAGGGCATATGCAAAGTGCGACACGTGTCAGATGTTGGACAACAAAAATACACCTCAAACAAAAACGAAGAAGTGTCAGATTAAAATAATATTTAAAAAATAAAGTGTTCAAAATATTTTACAAAAAATATATTTTAAAATATAATATATATGTTTCAATATTTTATTTAGTTTTAAAAATTTAAAAATTTTCTTATTTCCTCTCTATAGCCCCAAATCAATTACTTGTACTCAATACCTTGTTCTCCTAAACATTACCTTTTTCATTTCTCTCAAGCAGATCGTGGCTAAGGTTCACATTGATGCCCAATGCCATATAGATAGCGACATCTGACGCCATCTCAACATCAACATCTAACACCCTATCGCCATTGGCATTTGATGCCGTCTTGAAATTGACGACTGGCATTAGCAGTTGCTAAATCTACAGCCATGCCTCTACGTTGTCTCGATATCTTATATTTGTTCAATGTTGTCTCAATATCAATGGCCAACACCGGCTCGACATCAATGCACGATACCCAAGCATGACATCGACATATGACTGCCAACAATGTTGTCATTTTCTCTCTCGACACCTGACACATGACATCGAAATCTAACTCCCAACATTCTAACCTTAATAATTTTAAGCATAATTCATAATTAATTGACTCATTATTTATTTATTATTCTTAATATTCTACCTATTTAATTTCTATGCACTATTTTTAAAATACAATGAAAGAAAACCAATGAATTTGTATCAGCTATTTATAAAGCCAATTGATTGGTGCAGAAATGTCTAGCATAATGGGACATGCTACTCAATATTTTTTAATATACATACATAAATTTTGATTTCATTGTACACGTACCATAAAGATTGATTCTTTGTGAAAGAACATAATAAGAAATTCTAATGACAAAAAGTCAACTATATCTTCCTGAAATCAGAATTTACAAAATCATGAAATAAAATTTTAGACTACATAAGCTTCAATACTGTATTCAAAACCAGAGTACTTGGATCTATAACAAGTGCGTATATTCTTAATTTACTCATGAATTTTCACTGCATTTAACAATCCATAAGAAACTATTGAATAATCATTGTCCAGATAATCACCTCAATCATCTCAAATGAATGCAAATCAAAAAACCAGTTGTGCTATGGAGGCTAGCAAAGTGTAACATTTCAATTATAACATCAGAAGTAACACAATAAATCATGCGATCTTGACACATTAAAATTAAAAAAAAAAACTTAGGTTGTGCTGTTAATTTGTTATTTAGAAGAAAAACTAGTATAATTTGCCAATCGGACTAGTTTATTAATATTATTTTAGATTAATATTCATAAATGATAAGACTAATTTATTAATTAGTATAATTTAGAAAATTTTAGTTTTTAATGATTTATATAATAGATTAGATACTAAGAAGAGTGAAAGATATATGTATAAGTTAGCCAAACAAAGAAATAAAAGAAGAAAGAATTTAATTCAAGTGAAGTGTATTAAAGATAAAGATCAAAAAGTGTTTTTATTAGAATAGGATATTCAACAAAGGTGAATAAGATATTTTTATAAACTCTTTAATGAAAATTATAAGAATGCGATTAACTTTAGTGACCTTAGCACCCTAAATGAAAATAAAGATTTTTTAATTTTATCGACGTATTGATAAAACCGAAGTTAGAGAGGCTTTAAAGAAAATGATGTATGGAAAAACTGTTGGATCTGATGATATTCCAATAGAGGTATGAAAATTCTTAAGAGATGAAGGAATTTCTTGACTTACTAAACTACATCTCGAATTATAAATCACCTATATTTTATTTTCTCTTATTGGAGTTTTAATAAAAAATCAACCACCATTTTGATTTTACTGCAGTTTTTATATTATTGTTTGTTGTTTTTGCTTCCACGATGTAACAGTGTCGTATGCTAAAACTATGAGAGAGGGTTATAGAGCATAGGTTGCGGCGTGATACTAATGTTTCTCAAAGTCAATTTGGATTCATGCTGGGTAGGTCTACTACGGAAGCTATACATTTATTGAGAGGTTTGATGGATAAGTATAGAGAGAATAAATAGGATCTACATAAGATATTTATTGATCTAGAGAAAGCATATGATAAAGTTTCAAGAGAAATGATATGAAGAGTTCTAGAAAAGAAAGGGGTTAATAATGCTTATATTCAAGCCATTAAGGATATGTATGCATGAGCTGTTAATTGTGTTCAAACACAAGGTGGTTTGACCAAGTATTTTCTTATTTTAGTTGGATTACATCAATGATCAATCTTAAGCCCATATCTTTTTGCTTTCGTCATGGATATTCTCACTAGACATTTGCAAGACGTTGCACCCTGGTGAATGCTTTTTACTTATGATACTCTTCTTGTTGATAAGACTAGAAAATGAGTTGAAGGTAAACTTGAATTATGGAGGTCAATCTTAGAGTCTAAAGGCATTCATTTGAGTGGATCTAAAATTGAATATATGGAGTGTAATTTTAGTAATAATAGTTATAGTGGGGAGATTGTGACTTTGGGTGATCAAGTCATTAATAAGAGTTCATGTTTTAGATATCTTGGGTCTATTGTTCATATTGATGGTGAAATAGATTAGGATATTATTAGTAGAATTCAAATTAGAAGGTTAAAGTGGATGAATGCATCGGGCTTGTTGTGTGATAGAAAAGTCCCCCTCAAACTTAAGGGAAAATTCTATAATATGGTGGTTAGACCTGCAATGCTTTATGGTGTAGAATGTTGGTCATTAAAAGAGAAGCATAATATTAAGTTAAGTGTTACAGAGATGAGGATGCTTAGGTGGATGAGTGGCTTTACTCTTAGAGACAGGATACAAAATGAGCATATACATGAAAAGGTTGGAGTAGCTCCAATGGAAGATAAGATTAGAGAGAGTCGCCTTACATGGTTTGTTCACATAAAATGACGGCCTTCTGATAACCCAGTTAGAAAAGAACATGTATTAAATTTGACATATGTTAAGAAATGTAGAGGTAGACCTAAAAAGACTTGGTTAGAAAATATTAAAAATGACATTTCTTTATTAGATTTAAATGAGAATTTAATTTTTAACCGGGCACAATGGAGGAAAAGTATTCGTAAAGCCGACCCCACATAGTGGGATAAAGGCTTGATGTTGATTTTGACTAGTATAATTTACCAGACGATGATGCAATGGGATAACCAATTGCAAATCCGAATACAGTGAACAAAGCACTGTTCAACATTGGAACTAAATCAAATGGATAATTCCTGCTGCTTATGAAGGATTTTGAACTGAAACCATCTTCAAGAGCTATGCTGATGGTAAGGATTGTGGGGATGAGATAGGCGGAGCTGCCTAGAGCAAGTAACAAAGTCCACACAGTTGCTAATGCCAAAACCTGAGAAGGATCTTCCTGCCCTACAAATAAGCCATAACAATCCACAAACAAGTAAAATGCAGGATTCTTGACATAAAAAATGGATACAAAAGCCATAAAGAGAGGTACCTCGGCATCTGCATATGTCGATTGTCGCATGAGACTACAACGAGGATACTTGACAACAGATTTTGAGCCATATGAACGTAGTTTTAACTGTTATTTCCTTTTTTTATCAGTTTAGGATCAAAAATACTTAATTACACTGTGATGGTAGTAAAAATACCAAACACATTTACCTCTACTTTATCAAACATGTCATCGAAAATCAAGGGTTTACCGCTATAATAGGAATCCCGAGCCTGTGGTAACAAGAAAGGAAGCATTAGACACATGATAGATCAAGATCATCAATTAAAATAATTCTATTATAGTATTCAAAATTTCTAAAACAGACAATGCTCCTCCAACGGTGTTGATAACCTAAACATCAAAGACAATAATGTAAATTCATGATAATGCATACAGCAAATGAGGTGGTAAGTTGCTTAATGTGGATCCCTCCTACTTCCTTCCAGACCTCTGTAGCACAAGGAGAAAAAAAGAAATCCATCTCTCCGTTTAGCTGATAAAAAGGTCCTTCCCAGGAAAACTCTATTTGATACCACCCACTACCGTTCTCTCTCCAGGAAAACTCTAGAGTACAAGCACAACAAATCCTCTCCTCCTCGTTTATATGTCTGTATTGTGTTCTTCTGTGTCTTATGCTAATAAGGAAACAGGTTTTAAATTTGAGCAAAAACATTTGGTAGTCTATTTAAAACACCTTAATAAGTCATCATAAGTTTTGGAAACAACCGTGCCTTGTAAAACTGGGAAAGATGCACCCACAACAGCCGAAGTTGTATTTTCTGTCAATAAATTGCGGCATAAGCGCTTCTAGTTCCAAGCTTCCCACAAAATTATTTTTTTCATGGGATCAGAGTGGACTCTTCAAAATTCAACAGAGATTAGGAAATACTTAATACTTCACTGTCAAAATTCTCAAACAGCTGAACTAAGTATGAATCATTCATCAATTAACCAAAATCCAAAGGCATGGAAATTACATCTACCTCCACCTCCCCTACCAAACAACTACTTTCCCCTTGAATAAAAGAAAAAAAAATTATCCGAGTAGCCCTGATTCGGTGCTTAGGCTTAAAAAAATGCATCAAACTTATCTTCAAGGGAGAAATGGCAGCGGCTGCTAAACACTCAGATATATAATCGGCGGAAAACCTGAATGAATGAACACTACACCTGTTGATAGAGCGCTTCAAGCATCTCCTTGCTCGCGGTCTCGATAGACCCGACGAAGAGGCAGGATGGGCCCTCCGCCGCGGCGACGACGATCGCTTTCGAGAAGCTGCGGTTGGCGCGGGCTCTCGCGGAAGAGAGCCGCGCATGCCAGCTGAGCAACCAAGCGGCAGCGCCTCCGCCGGCAAAGGAGGAAGAAGACGCGTGCGCCAGTGAGGAGTGCCGCATGGGCCGCGTGGAGTGAACGTCACGCTTCCCTTGCCCTAGTTAGTGGCCACCACAAGCAGAGCTCGATAGATCGACGGGTCTTTTTTTGGCCCTACTCTGTGGCTGGCAATGCTTGGCTCCATTTTCTTTTCTCCTGTTTCCACGGATCTCTCTCCATCCTCTAATTGGAGAGAAATTATTATGTACGCAGTCCGAATGTTCTGATGTGCGTGCTTATTTTGTTATGTATTTTTGATACATAATTTTTTTAAGTATTTTTTATATATTTTTTGTGTATTTAATGAGTATTATTTATTTGCTAGTTATTTTGTCACGAAAAAATTATGTATCAAAAAATACGCAACAAAATAAGCATTGTGTACGCACATTCGAACACGTTCGAATTGCGTACAAAGATTGTAATTGCTTGGTTTGCATGTAATGAAAGGTATAAATATTAAATATTAAAATCTTAATATTTTAAGTGCTATGTATGTAAATCCCCTTTCAATTTTTTGCGAGTTTTCAAGAAAAAAAAACATTACTTCTACATCATCTTTTATAACCATCTTGAATTTTGTTTTAATTTTAAATGATAATCTGATTCGGCAAATTTCCAACAGTTTGCAAACCTCTAAAAATATATAATTTTGAGGAATAAATTTGAATGCTGATCTAAATTTAATCTAAAAAAATTTTTATATCCATCCATATAATACATCATCATTCATCTTTAAATAAAACTAACTTAAGCTTCATTTGTGATTGATTTTTTATTATTTTTTAAAATAGTTTTTTAGTACAAAATTAAATTCTTTATACTTTTGTACTAAAAAGCTACTTTGAAAAGCAGTAAGAAAACTGTCCCAAATGAAGCTTTATTCTGATATTAATATAATACATAAGCACTCAACTCTAAATAAATCTAATGTTTATAAAATTCATCATCCATCATATAGGCTTTGTATGGGATAGCTTTTTTATGACTTCTTAAAACAGCTTTCTAGATTTAAAATTTTATACTAAAAATTTGCTTTAAGAAGCAATAAGAAAACCGTCCGAAACGAAGCCATAATTCTTAGAGTCATAAATATCCTGACCCAAACGAAGCCATAAGAAAGAAACAATGAACATTGCCAATTCCTTTATGTGGATAAGAATTTATAGCAGAAACAAAATACTACAGTGACTTTTGCCTTAGCGTCCTGGAGAAGAGATTATATTTGAACTTTACAAATTGGTAAATCAAAACCCAGCAGAGAGAGATTATTCTTCTATCTAAAAAGCAAAAGCCATTTATAACTGAACTGCATTAAAATACCAAAGATGTAGCAAAAGCTATACATAGAATATCTGTCCAACGTTCAACAAGCTCTCATGGGGAAGATTAAACATCACACTGTTATCTCTACAAATCCTCCTAAGAAAAGCATAAACATAATCAACAGCAATCTTCTTAACAAGATTTGAATCTCTTCGGGCCCTCACCATTGTATTACTCAATATGTGAACCACTCCAGCTTCCTTGCATCTGTTCAAGAAATCAAGCTCCTCGCTGGTTATTTGGCTTGTAGGAGCTGAAGACCTTGTTACAGAGCTGCCTTGGTGTGATGATTGTACAGGTATGGAATCTTGTGATGAGGTGTTTTTCACCTCCATGATGGAGCCTAAAGTATCCATGTAGCCGGCTTCAAGCAGATCGATCGACTTCGCATTCTGCTGCGCGGAAAATGCGCACTCATCTGAATCTGAGTAGCCCTCCATCATTGCCTCAAGACGAACAAATACTGAAATGCTATCAAACAGCATCTTCTCAAAGTCATCATGCTTCCTGAGCAGATCTTTGTATCCATATCTTGCGACGCATCGGAATATATGAAAGCTTTTCGTGCCGATTCGTTTCACTATGAAGCGCTCGTCTACAGGGACGGTGTAAACTGGAAGGTACTTCACACAAACGAAGACGACGACGGAATGGATGGCGGGAAGGTTAGTGATGAGGTGCGAGAAGATGTGAGGTACTCCACTTGCAAGATCGGTGTACACGAAGCCGATGCCGGGAACTCGAACGAGGCCAAGACTTGGGCCTAGACCAAGAATCCAAGCAATTGATACCCTGGAGTGCTTCTCAAACTCATAGCGCTTAACTGTACCGTAATGCCAAACAAACATGATTAAGAGAAAAGCAGCAGCAATGACAAGTGGCACCCATCCACCCTCATTGACCTTGAATAGGACTGCAGAGAAGTAAGTGAGTTCCACCAAAAGGGAGAGGGCGGTAAAGAAGAGGACAAGCATCCAATGGCTTCTCCATACCAAGAACATTATAGGGATCATTAATAAGGTTGTAACCAGCATGACGATTACAACAGCAGTTCCTGTTCAGAGACTCAACTTTTAGTATATGAACAAGATGCTTTCACTGATTCTAATATCCAATCATGATAAGCAGTAAATATTGGATAAACAATCCAAAAATTTATTTTCTTTTCATTTTTCCTAACTATAAAGGAAATAAAACAAAGAAAATGTCTTAGCCTTTTTCTCATAAAGGATACAAATATATATCATATTTTCATTAGATAGGCCTAAGGCCAATATATCATGACAAAATGTGCCACAAGCTTCTCATATAAGCATTGTTCTTTGGATATGTTTTAAGGGACGGAATATAACAAGAGTTACTTATGCAATGACAAGCAACTTCTATATATCCAGAGCATTCATTATCAGAGTTGGAAGGAGGGAGGGGTGATAAGCATGTGTACCATAAGCATTGCCAATCTGGCTTTGGTTTTTGAACCCAGCAGTAACAGCAATGCAGAGGATCATCAGAATCCAATTAATGTCTGGAATATATATCTGTCCAAGAAACTTCTTTGATGTGTGGACAACCTTGACCATGGGGAAACAATCAAGAGCGGCTGCCTGCTTGATAATTGAAAATGTTGCAGAAATGGTGGCTTGGCTAGCAATACTAGCTGCAGCTGTTGCAATGATAACCATTGGCCAGTATATACCATCTGGAATTAAAAAGAAGAAGAATCACCATCTTTTCACAAGGAATGTATCAGTCAGTTAAGAATCTAAGGGAGAAGAGTGAGAAGTAAGAATCAACCTGGAATCGACCTATAAAATGCATCAAAAACATGATCTTGGTGTTGAATGATGTAAGCTGCTTGTCCAGTGTACGCCAAAAGAAGACATGGGAAAACAACAAAAGTAAAAGCAATCTGCATAAAAGCAAATCTTAGAGTAATAGACAAGCTTTGAGAAAGATAAGGGTCACTTATGCTCCGTTTGAGACAGCTTTCATAATTCTTTTATAACGGCTTTTCAGTATAAAAATTTCAAATTCATGAAATTTTTGCACTGGAAAGCTGTTTTAGAAAGCAAGAAGAAAGTCATCCCAAAAGAAGCCGCTTTCTTATTGCTTTTTAAAGTAGCTTCCTAGTAGGAAGCTGCTTTAAGAAGCAGAAAAAAAAGGTCTCAAACGAAGCCTTAAACAGATACCACAAGTCACCTGAACAGCAAGGACTGGGAAATGACACAGGTCGGAAAATAATACATCAGCTCCTGGAAAAAAGAAAAACAGGTGTTATAAATAAATAAAAGCACGAATAAAAGAAAAGTGCTTTTTACATTCTTCAGATGCTGACCTGTAATGCTAAGCATAATCCCTCCCAGGGAAGTCAAATTTTTGTGGCCACCTTTGAAATATCTAACTATGTGAACTGGATTAAAGGCTTTGAGAACTGAACTGTCATATTTGCATAAGTTGAACACGCCTATGGATCCTATTAACAGGAACCAGAGGAGAACAATGGGAGCAAATAGCCAGCTAACTCTGTCTGTACCATAATGCTGCAAGCTAAATAAACCAACTAATATAACCACAGCCACCAGTATAACCACACCTGCATTCAAAGCGATTTGCAGTGTCACTTGAAGAAATTAAACTACAACATAAAAAATAAACTAAACATTCATAGCATTGTGGATAAGCCTGCCTAATTAAACTTACCATTACTTATATTAGGGTGGTTCACCTTGAGTCCACCAGATGCGGAGAGAACTGTTAAAAAAAGTAAACCTCGACATCAGAAAAGGAATGTCAGCGGCTATAAGGGACAGTATAGCACTAAACAACCAAATGTACCATGGGCATTCAACAAATCAGAAATTTCAGATATGACAACATCATATCTTTATGCAAAAGTCATATGAGACGAGAAAGTATTTAATGAAATTTATTATAAAAATAAAGATGGACATAAATAAGAGCAGAGAGAAGGGCAACAACAACAACATCAAGCCATTGTCCCACTACGTGGGGTCAGCTACATGAATCCTTTTTAGCCATTGTGTCATGTTAAAAGTCAAATTCTCATTTAAATCTAATAAAGAAAGATCATTTCTAATATTTTTTAACCAAGTCTTTTTAGGTCTACCTCTACCTTTCTTAACATAAGTCAAATCTAAAACCTCAACTTCCTAACCGGCTCATCGGAAGGCCTCCGTTTAATGTGACCAAACCATCTAAGGTGACTCTCTCTAATCTTATCTTCCACTAGAGCTACTCCAACCTTTTCACGTATATGCTCATTTTGAATCCTATCTCTAAGGGTAAAGCCACTCATCCACCTAAGCATCCTCATCTCTGCAATACTTAACTTAGTATTATGCTTCTCTTTTAATGGCCAACATTCAGCAGAGAGAAGGGCAAATAAAAGAAATAACAGCAAAAAAAAAATAAGTCCAGCGGGAAAATTAAGCAATATATAGGGATATTATACCTGAAATAGCAGGAGTAAGAATACCGTCCCCAATGGCCATGCATGTTCCAATAAGAACAAGAATAAGAACAGCATTTTTCTTGTATGTATGAGCCTCTAACCAGTGCTTGAGTTTTGCTGCGAATGAATTCTCATCATAAGTTCGGCAACTATATGTTGTTAACTCTTCATCTGTTCTATGCTGGTTGGGAATAGTCCTAATTTTTGCATGTCGGCAGAGAAGTGAATATAAAGCAAAAGTACCCCCTTGTAAAATCAGAGCAAGAACAATATAAGCACCCCATCCATTCACAATATGATTATTTGATTTGCATTTAGTAGCAATGTGCACATCAGTTAAGCAATTATATTGGCATTAATAGAATCTCAACGTTTAAACAAATTTTATTACATCAGGTATGAGTTTAGAAGTAAGAAAACCTTTAGCATTGAAGAAACTAATGGACCAAGAAGACAAAGGATTTTACAGAAAAGACAAACGGAGAATAGTATTAAATCGTCTGTTTACACAGCAGCTTTTGAGTCTATTATATAGACCTCGGTTGTACGGTCTAAGCAAAAGAGAACCAATCACCCATTTACACATCAGACCAAGTACAGTTTTAAACAGAAATTATTTTGAAAATTTTTGTATTTCTGGTTCTAATACTCCCCTGCAAACTGATGAGTCTTGCATGACTGTCAGTTTGTGACGAAATTTTTGAAACCGCGGTGTGGAGAGTGCCTTTGTAAATATGTCTGCTACTTGATCTGTTGTACTGATTGGTAGAATGGAGATGTTGTTGTTCTGAATGTGTTCTCGTACAAACTTTTGGTCTATTTCTTTGTGCTTTGTACGAGCATTAAAGACCGGGTTGTTAGCTAGTGCGATCGCTGAGGTGTTATCGCAAAATATCTTCGTTGGACCGTCTTGAATGATACCGAATTTGGAGAGCAGCCGTCTGATCCATATTATGTCCGCCGTGAGTGCTGCCAATGCCCGATACTCGGATTCGGTGGATGAACGAGCGATTGTGTGCTGTTTCTTGACAATCCAGGAGATGATATTGTTTCCTAAGAATTAGCAGTATCCAGATGTAGATTTTCTGGATTCCGGATCTCCTGCCCAGTCAGCATCTTAAAAGCATTGTAGAGTAAGGTCAGTGTTTGAAACCAATATACCAAATTTGGAAATACCTTTGAGATATCGCAGAAGGCGTTTCAACAGATAAATGTGTTGAGGTTGTGGATTATGCATGTGTTGTGATAACTGATTCACACTGTAGGAGATGTCGGGGCGAGTGATTGTTAGGTACTATAAGGACCCGGTAAGACTGCGGTAGAGAGTGGGTTCTTGAAGGACAGTATCTGTGTTGAATGTGTTTGGGATCTTGGTGCAGGTGGAGTTCGCCAATTCTTTGCAGTCCGCGAGGTTTGCCTGTGCAAGAATTTTATGTACATACTTTTCTTGAGAAAGGAAATAACTATTTGGATGCTTAGTTATTTTGATGCCGATAAATTCTGATATATCTCCCAGGTGCTTCATATTGAACTCTTTGTTGAGTTTGTTGAGGATCTTAGTAATGGTGTCCGGGTCATTCCCGGATATGAGGATGTCGTCGACGTACACCAGTAAGTAGATGCGAATTTGGTCCTTGTTGTACATAAAGAATGAGGGATCAGATTGGCTATGATTAAAGCCAATGTTGATAAGAGTGGAGGTAAACATATTGTACCACTGCCTAGGAGCTTGTTTTAAGTCATAGATGGCTTTGTTGAGATGACAAACATAGTCCGGATGTACGCTATCCTCGAAACCCTTCGGTTGAGCCATGTACACCGTCTTCGATAGGTGTCCGTTCAGGAATGTGTTGGCCACATCAAGTTGTTGCACCAGCCAATTGTTGTGTAGAGCGACTACAAGAAGGATCCTTATGGTTGGTAGTTTGGCAACTTGACTGAAGGTTTCCAGGTAGTCCAGTCCATATTGTTGATGGTTACCTTGAGCAACCAATCGGGTCTTGTGAGTAGCCACCGTGCCATCTGCGTGACGCTTTGTTTTGTATGTCCACTTGCATCCTAGGACTGAGGCGTTTGGCGGTGGTTTGACCAGTTGCCACGTTCCTTGACGTTGAAGTGCAAAGAATTCGATGGCCATGGCTTGACGCCATTCAAATTTCTTGGCAGCTTCAGTGTAGGTAGTTGGATCTGACTGGATTGTTTCCTGATTGTGGGAATGAATCAGGTTTAGTTTTATTGTTGGGCGTAGAGTGTCGGTTTTGCTTCGTGTCACCATTGGATGAGATGGTATGACGTATTGATTCGGGGCTAGCTGAGATTGCTGGTTGTTTGTTGTAGCAGATGGAGTTCGGTTAGGATACAAGATCACGGGGGGTTCTGAGACTTGGTTGACAGAGGATGCTGGCTGAAAACATCTTGCGGGGTTAGAAGAATGCACAGAGACCGGAGTAAGTAATGAGGGAGATATGTCCGGAGGATTGTTGGTATGGTATGAATGTGCTTCGGTGAAGGGAAACCAGTGTTCTTGAAATGTAGTGTGACGTGAGATGGTGATTTTATTCGTATGAGGATTGAGGCACTTGTAGCCTTTGTGAGTGTCGGAGTAGCCAATAAAGACGTGCGGGTTTGCCTTAGGCTGCAGCTTGTGACGGGCTTGCTGCGGTATGAGCGAAAAGCACTCACACCCGAAAACTTTGAGATGTTCATACTGCGGTTTACGATTGTGAAGCAGTTCGAATGGTGAAACCTTGTTTGTAGTCAGGGATGGTAATCTGTTGATAAGATAGAATGTCGTGGCTACGGCATCCGGCCAGTATTTGTACGGGATAGAGGCTATAGCAAGAAGCGTGCGAGTGGTTTCTATGATGTGGCGGTGCTTTCTCTCTGCCAATCCGTTTTATTCTGGTGTGTATGGACACGATTGTTGATGTGTAATGCCATGGTTCGTCAGAAAAGAAGAGAACGAGTAATTCACATATTCGGTGCCACCGTCTGTCCGAAGAGTCTTTATTTTCCGTGAGGTGTAGTTCTCAACCTGTGTTTTAAAATGAATAAACGTATCAAATACCTCAGATTTATATCGTAATGGAAATAACCATGTGAATCTTGAATAATCGTCGACAAAGATAACATAGTATATGTATCATTGATTGGATTCTACTGGGGCAGGTCCCCAAACATTAGAATGAATTAACGAGAGTAAAGATTGATCACTGCGTTCCAGTTTATTAAATACAAGCTTATGACATTTAGAGGTATTATAGGAAATGCAAGAGAGCTCGTGTTGCCTAAGCCTAGACCTGGATTACAACTAGAAATTATATCAAAAGTTCTTTTATTGGGGTGTCCAAGACGTTGATGCCACTGGACGGTCGACGAAATGTTGGCTGCAAGAGCTATGTTGTTATTCGGTTGTTGGCTGATTGGGATCTTGTAGAGACCGCCGTTACATGGTCCTCGATGAATGACTTTGTGCGTCTTCATGTCCTTCAAGAGGAAGCCATTAGGATCAAATATGATGGATATGCATTATCCTTGGTCAATTGAGATATAGATAGTAAATTGTATTGAATAGAAGGGGAATGTAAGATATGTGATAAATGCAGCTTACGAGACGGGGTCGGGAGGATACCCGCCCCTGTATGAGAGATATTGACTGAGCTTCCGTCGCCAATTGTCACGGTGTCTGATCCTTGATAGGGCGTGGAGATTGACATGTTCTCGAGTGAGTTTGTGAGGTGGGAAGATGCCCCCGAGTCCAAGAACTAGTTCGCTTCTGTGGTGTCAGCTCCGGCAAGAAGAGCTGTGTTCGTGTTTCTTGATGACGGTGTGTATTGAATGTTTAGTCTATGTCAGCCTGGGCTTTTTGAGGCAAATCTGGCAGATGAGATTTGCTGATGCTTGTGGCCGAGATGAATTGGGAATGCTGGACGGATTCCTTCCACGAGACCTTTTGCCTCTGCCACGGTAGTTGAAGAGGGCAGTGTTGGGATCGGACCGACCGGTGGATTTGGCTGCGTCTGATGCCAGATTGACTTCTTCGCTTAGAAGAAGAGGATAGGGTTGATCGAGCGTGATCAGTGTAAGCATTGTTCGTATAGCCATCTTGAAGGATTGATATGGGGGAGGTAGACCGTTGAGAATGTAAAGAATTATATCCTCCGTATCAACAATCGCTCCAGCCGCTGCAATCTGGTCGACTAGAGACTCGATCTCGGTGAGATATTGCGTCATGTTGGAGTTCTTGAAGGAGATGTTGTGAAGTTCATTCTTTAGTTGAATTACTTTTGATCTGTTGGTAGATTGAAAGCGGTTTTGTAGCGATAGCTAGATCGCTGCAGTAGTCTCCAAGTAGATGACATAGGGAAGAACCTGGGTAGAAATTGTAGAGCAAATGGACGCAGAAATGTTCTAGTCCGTAAGAACCCATTTGGAGAACAGGAGATATATAGATGACGACCCATCTTGGTTTGTTACCGTCGGCAGTGGAGGAGTGACGTTGGGATCAAGAAAGCTTTGAAACCTATTTGCATTGACGATCTTGAGAACCTGTGACCTCCAAAGGGAATAGTTGTCGGAGGAGAGGGGAATCGTGACCACATTCTTGATGTTGGACACCAGAAACTTGAGATTGGAGGGAATGATCAGATCCGATGCTTCGGCTGATGCCGAAGAGGGACGAACTTCTGTCTGGGAGGAGGCGGAGTGAGCCATAGACAGAATTCTAACCTACTACTGATACCATGAAGAAACTAATGAACCAAGAAGACAAAGGATTTCAACAGAGAATAGTATTAAATCGTCCGTTTACACAGCAGCTTTTGAGTCTATTATGTAGACCTGGGTTATACAGTCTAAGCAAAAGAGAAGCAATCACCCATTTACACATTAGACCAAGTACAGTTTTAAACAGAAATTATTTTGAATATTTTTGTATTTTTGGTTCTAATAAGCATTAATAGAAAATCCCAAAAATAAAATATAAAATTCATTTTGGCCATAAAAATATACTATTTAGTCAAATATTGTTACGCCGGCCCAGGAGGGGCCGGCTGGACCGGTCCGGGTCTATGTTCGGCGGAAGCAGGCCAGGGGAAGGGGCGAAGCTTAGGTGGGGCCCTCTATGGGTTGTTTTAATGTTTGGGAGGGAAATTATTTGAATTAGGGGCTAATTAGGTATTTTGCTTTAATCCTTTTGCTTTAATTAGGGATGAGGGGGAGTTTTGGAGGCATCTTGCATTTGAATT